ACGGAACATCTAATAAACATTCCTGTAAGGGTTAAAATTGATTCTTCTGAAAATTATTTTACTTTAGATGGGGCCTGACATTAATCCATTTTCGTAAATAGAAAGAATATTTTACTTTCGTTCCAAACGATTCTGTTTCGTTAAAAAAATTTGAAAATGTAACGCTGCTAAATTGATAAATAACTGTTAATCAAAATAATAATAACCCTACAAAATAATTTCCTGAATTTTAGAACATTAGTAGTTTCTTGTATCCATAAACATGCATATGTTACGTTTTCGTCTGTCATAATTTATCAGTCTATGGTCTTCTGTCATAATTTATCAGTCTAACTCGAAGGTTTCATTTGTTATAATTCGGACAATTCAGGGACTGAATATAATGGCATTGACGACGCTTCCTCCATTTTGAAGAAACTTAACGTGATTGTTTTCTAATTCTGTAATAGGTTTATAGTGTATAATTGGCTCAGTGCGTTTATAATTCTAAAATTATAATTAAGGAAATAGTTCTTGCGGTGCTTTAATTTTAAGTGAAATACATTAGCAAAAATGATTGAGATTGCTGTTATTATAGTATATTAATTTCAGAATTTTCTTCCATAGCGTAAACGCATTTACAGGGCTATATAATTATCAGGAATTTACAACATAAATATTTTATTTTCCTTAGAAATGCTTCAAGGAAAGTAATTTTCTTTCGCTTGATTTTAATAAAACAGGCACATACATAAATACGATTTATGAGTTATTGTTTTAACACTATGGCATAGCTTCCAAAAAGTTTTTCAAATTATTAATATATAACACGTTTCATGTTCCCTCATATTTCTCATTTCATATTATGTAACATTCACACTCTACAGTTAAAAAAATGTATTTTATGTGCATCTATGCGTAATACAATAAACTGGAAAAAATATTTTTTTTTAATAAACGGGAACAGTTTTTATCTTTCAACTGGGCATTATATAGATATTCAATTCGCTTTTTACTTAATGAATAAAGGTGAAGAATATAAAACGTACGGTTTCTATGATTTCGCTATAACTTCCATTATTATTATCACACCGTACTATTAACATAACGTTTTGGTAAGTAATCTTTCTTTCAAAGTCGATGGCTCAAATTGGGCAACACGGTATATCGTCTTTCGATGCTTCTTCATATTAGTGAAGTTCCTCTTCTCCCAACACAATTCTTTCTAAAAATGGTTGTCGTCCTGGAAAAAAGCAAAAAATGATCATGGGTTTGGATTTTCTCGTATAGTTCCTAAAATATTTATATGGAATCCACTGATTGAACATTATGATGGAGCTCTGCGCCTTAGTGCATCTTCTAACTATTGTTATATATGTCAACAACATATCCGCTATTTTGTAGACAGTTTGGGTCCGTGCTGACGCTTGATTCAGATATTCTTTAGAAACCACCCACGAACGTGGTAGGCAGTTATAACTTTTATATTCATCGTGTAATTTCCAAGCAAATAGCCATATGTGGCTGTTGCCATTTGCATCTTTCTCAAACATTTGTCAATAGTTACTGCAAACCAGCGATGAAGTTCTATTTATGTCAAACTTGTATAGTAAACAATGTAAAATGCGCTCCTTATCATTTGCCAATAATAACGCGCCTGAATTAAGATTGGCAAACTCAGTGCTTTTACATGGTCTATGATTCCTCACTTGATTGGCGAAAGGTTCCAGGCACCATCGTATCACAGCAATAAAAATTTGCATCTGCAAATCCGGTTTGGAAATTCAAGATAATCTTCAAGATCTTCAAGATGAAGATTTTCGCCAAGATGATCTTTTTAAGATGAATGTAAATATCTTCTTTTAATTCAGTGTGAGATTATGCGATAATTTATTAAGATATTACAAGAATTAAAAACACAATACTTTAACAATATTTACCTCCTTCTACCAAGTTATTTATTTCAAAATTTATTATTTTTGATGTCATTTCCAACTTGCCTTGACGGTTGAGTTAAGTTATAATAATTCGACGAAATAAGTTTAAATGAATTGCAGAAAAAAATGTGTATCATATAATAGGCCGTCCAGATCAGATTTTTATTTTTTTACTTAAACAATTTTCCATAATTCAAGTATCTTCTGCTAAACACACGCATTCAAACGAAATTCACTGTAAGCTTTTGTTTACAGCAGGGATAAATTAACATCTGAAATAGAATCTAGAAAATAAATTTGAACTATCTCAGTATTCTACAAACTGTCTCCTAAAACTCCCTATACACCCTAATCGAATAGAAACAATTTATTCATTCACGGTACGAAGAGTTTATCGCCTGAACATGCTACCGAAACAAATCTTCTTTGGTATTTACAGCTCTTCAGGTAAGTTTCAGTATGTCTGAAGTTCCATTCAGTGATTATTTCCTAGATTATATTGTATTTGTTTAAAAGAACAAGAAGGAAGTTGCAGTTGAAACGATTTCCAGTGGGAAAAGAAGACTGGGAATATTTTTTGCACATTTAAACAAGTTTATGTATTTTGACCAGTATCCTTTTCTCTCCATTGGTGAGTCCCAAATTTACTTCAGGGCATTTTATTTTTATTTGTACCATATTACAGGCATAACAGAACGATATTGTTTCAAATTTATATGGTCATTTATAACAACCTAATCTTAATTTCTTAATGTTTTGATACATTTGGTAATAGAATCATCACCAGATTACGTAAATATTAACTCATTAATATTTAATTTAATGGAATACTTATACGCTCTAAATAGTAAACAATAGTTCATAAATCAGAATTGAGTTCTATTTTATAATAATAATTAAAGTTTTAAATAACCCCTATGCTCAAAATTAAGATAATTTGACAGTAATTTTTATAGTGCTTGGATTTATAATGATCGATAATTCTGCTAACCCCAGAACATTTTAAGGTTTTAAGTACATTAAAATGCCTTCTCTCAAACCTTATCTAAACTAATGCAAAATCTTATTGCTCTCTCCAGCATCTGAATGCTTGGAACACAAAATGGAATTGCTACTCATAAACGCGCAGTGAAGTTTTCTACAACTAAGTATCTAAACTTTAATTTTGCGATATTCATCATCGTTCGCGTTGAAACAAAAATATTGTTACGAATTTTGTACATATATAAATAATTTAGTGAATTTACATGTAAAATTGCATAATAACAAGCGCAATGAAAGGCTTCAAAAATGCAAAACTGTGGTCGAAAAAAATAGAGTACAGGTGCAATTATAGTTTATATTCAGATACATAATGCAAACACGTTTAGCTTGGGGCTATCTTGCCAAAATGGGCGAGGTATCGCCATGTTGACCACGATTTTAGGGACTTCTTTTTGTCGCCAAACTTGGCTACCATTTGCAGACATTTTGGTCCTGTTGCTGTGTAATTGTAATTGGCCCATTGCATATGTAACTGTAACTGTATCATGTAACTGTAACTGTGTATGCCTTTCAGTAATTTCGCGAAATCGAAGGTACCGGAAATTTCTGAGTGGAAAAACTGTATAACAAGGGAGAGAGCATCAGTTCTCATTAGTTTAATTCAAAATAATTGAGTCTGGAGTATTGAGAGATATCTGTGCAATATTCGCCTTTTATATGCGCTTTGAATTGCATTGTGTTTAACGTTCTTAGAAGTTTGAAGTGTAACAACTGATTGTGCTCTGTGGTACTGATAACAACTGTACGATCACTTTTGTGAAACATTCCAGAGCTCTAAAATGTTTCTTTTTGTAAAATAAATCTTATTAAATTATCATCGGTTCTGTGTGCATTCAATCCACTACGAATCCGCACATATATAACAATATTGTTTTTACTGCACGCTGCTTATTCTACGAAGAAATTTAGGAAAGGTTTTTCTATGTTTCGAAAGGGCACTTCTGTTATCCATACGATAGTGGAGATCTGAAAATTACTTTCCAGTTTGTTTGTTTTTTTTATCTAACATTCACACTTCTGATAGAGGACCCGCCCTGATGGTATAGTTCTGGAAGCCTACTGTGATACCAAAGGGCAAGGGTTCGAATCCTGGATAAGTCATTGCTGTAGCCTTCCGTCTCTTCATAGCAGGCAACGGTGGCCCACCTATTAAGTGCCTCCATAATAAAGTGATCACCATTTCTGCCATTAGTAGTGGCCAAGCCGAAGTCAGCTGAGGCCCCGCCATTGGGGGAAAAAAATAGAAACTTCTGCTAAAGGATGCGATTATTTTTGGTGCATTTACGTTCAGAAAAAAAAATATATTTATTTAAAAACAAAGACCATCACTTCCTTTATAAATCTATTTTGTTTATGATTGTTATTCTCTAAAATAATTTAAAGATATTCTTTTTGCTATTAAACTCTATGTTAGTAATCTACTATTCCTCTTCCATCCCCCAGACTTTGAAAGTTTTTGAAATTCCAAAGAATTGAATTTGACCTGATTTCGAAACCGTTAGAATTATTGAAAAAAGCATTTTCCTAACAGGCCAATTGTTGAGTAACATTAAAATTAATGATTCTTACTGGTCTAAACCAACACTTCATTAAATTTGTTACTCATTACAAATTTGTTCATTAAATTTGTAAATCATGTACATAGTTACATGATTTGTTAGCACATGCTTCCAGTTATCATAAAAATGACAATGCTTTCTTTGTAATATTTTGAATTATATGGGAAAAACTTTAGGGGAAAATTAAAAAAAAAAAAAAAAAAAAAACTTCTTTTTTACATTTTATTACTATTTTCTACGACAGATGGCGCTACGTTCCTTTTCTCTGCTTCTACCATCGATGTCTATTATACATTCTCCCTGCCTTTCCAAATGATGGAGTATTTCTCATATAATAGTTTCCTGTTTTAAGATATAATTTTTTTACGCACCGTCTTAAGATTTCGATATCTGCTTAATTATAAGTATGATTTCCTGAATAAAATATAACATAATGATAAAAACTGTGAGAAGGATAAATTATAAGGGAAAATATACTAACGATTGATGTCTATCGTTACAGATGCCGATACAGGTACAGTAAGGTTGGTATTGGTGGCTTGACAGGTGTAGCTTATAAGTAAATCACTCCTGTGTAGCTTTGGCAGGACAAGCTCGTTCCGCACATAACCCTGGCTGGTCTGTGAGAAACTCTCGTCCACCAGAACTGACTCTCGCCACCAAGTTACCATAGGAGAAGGAATACCTAGAATTGAAAAGAGAACACTTGTAAACAAATACATATGAAAAGAAGTGCAATTCATTTAATTTACAAACCTTTCATTTCTTTCACATTTACGTAAATGTACTTCACTTGAGGAAAACGAACGCTATGCAGTTTAATAGTAAGTAGCTAAAGAAGTTAAACACAGTAATAAACACAAATAAGTAAAACTACATCGCTGACTGCCGTTTCGTTGGAGCTCAACCCAATGTTATCAAAGCCTTGTTGTTATCTAGCGGAACGAAGCAGCGGTTTTATTATTATTATTTACGTGTTTCGCACTAAGGCCCTATACGGGAGTAAGGAAGGCCTTCCTGGAGGACTTTCTAGAGAAACTGGCTCGTATTAACATGTTACAATTGGGCAAACCCACGAAATGCAGCCAGCGCGTTCGCGGGATTCGAACCTCGGAACGAACTAACAGGGTTTAGCCACTTTACCGCTTGGTGGCTGGTGGGCCCAGCGGTTATATTGCTACCAAAAATTTCAGTTCCAGACGTGAAAATGATTCAGATAAAATTTTGATTGTTCTGTGTGGTTTCAGTACTTAACAATGTTAGTGTTAATATAGTTTCCTAAATAAATATGCAGAGATTAAAAAAGGAAAATATAATTCGTCAAATACTATACAAACTTCTCCGCGTTCCCTACCGTAACAGTTCGATTGAGTCTCCACCGAAGATTAGACAATGATTATATTTTTATCATTCTTCTTTATTATTAAATCGGGCCTGCATCACTAATTTACTATAGAAGAATTTTATTCAATATAAAGAGGTCTGCATTTATAAATAAGATAAATTGATATTAATACATATGATCTGAAGAAAAATCCTTATTTTATAGATCTTATTTTTCCTCAAAACAAAACTTTTCCGCCGAAATGCTTACCATTTAAACAGTAATACAATGAAATACTCATTATTTACGCTTGCAAACAAGCATAATAGGGAAACAATTAGGAATAATACATTTAAATGAGAAAATCATGGTTAAAGAAGAAGATTAATTGAGAAAATAAAGTATTCTAAATTATTATTTCGTTATTTGTATTTATAATTCATTGCTTCGGCATAATGTTTAGCATTTATATATTATTTAAAGAAATTAAACGTAAAACTCTTTATAAAGGATTGTTTCAATAGTCTCATTAATTAAACAATGTTTCTTTCCGTTTGTAATTCTCTCAACTTATATAGGTCTGGTTGCTGCACTAATTATTAATAACAAAGTGATTAATGCAATTAATTAAAAGGTTTTTTTCAGTTCAGGCAAAATATGATAAATCTCCATGCTTCTGTGCACATTTCCTTCGAAATGCCATTTGTAGCATTGCAAGATTTTAAGTTCTAAACGCGAAGGGAAAAACAAAAGCTGAGTTGAAACGGAAAGATGAATGTTTCTCATGTATGTTTTCAAAGGAATTTAAATATTTTATAAAATATAAATCAATTGATTATTTTTCTAACATTCTAAAAATGATTCTACTTGGCGTTTCCTATAATAATTATATGCTGTGTTATTTAAGAAGAATAAAATTATGCTGCTTTAACAACATCATTATCCAAAACTCATGTTTAAGTTTTTCCGTATATCGAATAATACGAAGTATTTAATTTAGAATTTTTCCTATATGATACAGTTATTCTACAGCACAGTATATAATACAGTAATATTACATTCCATTTATATTAACACAGAATAGTTAAAATTTCCAAAAATGTAATTCATTCATTGTAAGAAATCCTCATAGAGGTGCTTTCTTATTGAAAAACACATTTGTGGAAGAATAGCCTAGAGAGAAGCGTTTCTAATTTCGATTATGTAATGTAAAATCCGAAATCTCTTCTACAGATAGTATGAAACATGTTTCTATAAATTTAACATATCAACATTGCGGTTGTTTCAGCAACTCGAGTTGGAAATAAATTATTACTATAAATTTTGTTTTGAATTTTGCATTCTTCCTTGAATATGTGTAGTGCTGATGAGATGAAACTTTCACATTTATACCATTCCTCGGTAAAAGTCAAGAAATGTGTGAAGCACGTGTGTCACCCTGATGTGTCGTCCTGGATTTCGACGTTAGCCTAGTAGTTTTCAATGTTGTCAAGTAGTAGCCACGATTATCTCCAGTGTGCTGCAGCTATTTGATACATGGATCCTTGGCATGGAATGCACATTAATGTTTGTGAAAACTGCACACCGTGAAGGAATTATGCAAATTCAACCAAACTTACAAGAAATGTAATGTGAGATAAGATCATGCAAGTGATTGGAATTACAAAGCAAATTGCGCGTGAGTGGAATGAGAATCATCCGCTTGTTGCATGTATATAAAGGACTATACGTTGCGTGGAAATCTACTTATCGCCCTCTGTCTGCGGTGAATGTGTAATTTGTGGTCAGTATGCCTCGTCAACAGCGGAGGGTGCCATACCAGCAACCAACAGAGTTCAAACAAGGCCACATGACGCATTCCGGACACTGTATTTTGGTAGGATAATGAACAGAGGAAAGACAATATCTTTTTACTTGTTGCACAACTATAAAAGCATCTATCTTAAAAACGTCTTGGTAAAAAAAGCTTAGTCCCCGTTCTCCAAAATCTTCAAAAATCTATTACCGACGGGAAAAATTCACAGCGATCTAACACAATAGACACGACAGGATTCCAAATGTAGCTTACAGATGGTTCAAGTTGAAAAAGGGTAGAATTAGTGGCATGTAGAAAAATAAACTTACCACTTCAATTCGAAAAAACACTAAACACCAGAGTGGCAGTATCTCAGATAGAGTTCTTCGCTTTCGATAACCAAATACATGTGTTGCTAAAAGTTGTTTAATATTGTTCGACATCTAAAGCGTCATCTGCGCTAAAACAGTGCATGTTAGTTTACTTTTAAGCTTTTAAGAATAAAATGCCGGAATAGAAAACAAGATAATGAAATCACGAATATCAGCAATGCAGCGGAGAGAAGCAAGAAAACAGAATGTTTTACATTTTTTCAATACAATTCTTTCGAAAATCTTAGTAGAATTCTTTTATTATCCAACTAGCAACATGACACGGATATTTTTCAAGTTATTTATTCCAGTTTTTAAAGAAATACGGGAAATGCATGTGCGGAAAAGCGAAAAGAGAAGCTTATCTCAGACATTTCTTATCAGATTACTTTAAAAGGGCTTAAACACGCCAAACGTATTACCGAAATGTCTCTATGTCGAAACACTTTGAGTAAAATGCAGAAAACGACCGCACAAAATAATAAATCTGGTTACTTATACAAATAATGCTCCTTTTTGAAGCATGATTCATTGCCTTTTACTAACCGCAGTCTTCCCACGTTAATCTGATTCCCGCAAAACTTTCTGCTCATAAACCGAAGATATTTGAAAAAAAAAAATGATAGTTAGGTTTGTCGAGATGCGTAGATTTATAGCATATTTTGGTAAGATCTTACTACAGTCTTTCGCTTTTTTAAATATTACATGGAACAAAAAAAGCAACGAAAAAATTATCAGAAATTTTGCAGTATATAATGAAGAAAGAATGTCAGTATGAGACATGCCTTTGTACCCTAAAATCGAACTTTCCTAGTAAGCTTTTAAGAAGAGTCTGCTAACGGTGGCTGACATGTACTATGAGCAGTGACTGACTGCCAGTCCGAACTCGAGGATGAGAGTTCGACTATGGCATATAACTTGGTGACGCCCAGGGGAGCCTATTGTGATACCGAGGCCCCCGGATTGAAATCCGGGAGAAGGCATGGATATTTGTAAGCATAGCATCCGTGCGGCATGGGGGCACTCTAAATACGAGTCGTGCCTCTCGAGAGGTTAGTGGTAGGGGAAGAGAGATGGGAGATGATCCTCGGACCCATCCGCCCAGGGGTGCTTTTTATCAAACCTGAGCGGAATTGAGAAGTCACTCTGCCATCTGCATGCGCCCAGAGCTCTTGCCAACGACAGACGCATTCTTGCACTTATTGCCACGATGAATTTCGTGCACTTGTTCTGATGTTAATGTCAGACAAGTGAGATAAGTCATGACACATAAAATTTGGTTTGTTTGAGTCTTTCTTCCCATTTACTCAGGTGTGGTGTCCGCTCTGTGGTGCACCCTAGGTAATATCCTCGGAAATGAGACAGCTAAATAATCGATGGGTTCAACCATTCTTGATAAACGCACTTGCTAACATTTTATGCTTGTATATGTTTATATTACAAAAGCATTTCAAATATTAACGTATATGAACTGTAAATCTGAATCATTATGAATTTCTAATTCCTACAGTATTAATTTCGATGTTCCGATGTTTTAACGCATATTATTTTGCGTATTTAGCTCATGATTAATAAGTTAGTTTGTTAATGTACTTCTAGTCCATTATTAATATGTATGTTCTAGTTTCCGAAGCATTCCTCTTTCGTAATCTACATTATTTCATATAGTTTATTTTCCGTTCCTGCATTTCAGTCTTTATGGTATATTTCATAGTGTTATTATCCCTCTAATGTAACCTATTATATTAATACGCTTTTAGTCTCTTTACGTATAAACTACGTAATGTTATAACCCAAGTCATATGAATATGATATTTCTGTTGCATATCAGTATCTTGTTCGCTCTGTTGTCGCAATATTTATTTATTAATAACATTTCTTGATTAAATGAATGCCCAATTGTAACCTAATATAGTAACCAACAATCCATCCCAAGGTGGAAGCAATATTATATATAATGAGTCAACTCCATATTCTTAGGCATAGCAGCCCATTTGACTCCATAAGGATTCTTGTAAATAAAGATCACTCCATATTGAGGTTCTTTGATTTCAGCGCATTTTAATTTGCATTTTGAACGCATCTTTGCATTGTCTAATATAAATTATTATAAATAATAATCTTAATATTAAAGTCCTTTAATTTCAGCGCATTTTAAGCCTACAAGCTGTCGTTCGGTAAACGCTGGCAGTTTA